CAGGGATGCATTAAATGTACAGAGTGCAGGATTCAGGAATGCGTTATGTACAGAGTGCAGGATTCAGGGATGTGTTATGTACAGAGTGCAGGATTCAGGTGATGCGTTATGTACAGAGTGCAGGATTCAGGAATGCGTTATGTACAGAGTGCAGGATTCAGGAATGCATTATGTACAGAGTGCAGGATTCAGGGATGCATTATGTACAGAGTGCAGGATTCAGGGATGCATTATGTACAGAGTGCAGGATTCAGGGATGTGTTATGTACAGAGTGCAGGATTCAGGGATGCGTTATGTACAGAGTGCAGAATTCAGGGATGTGCTATGTACAGAGTTCAGGATTCAGGAATGCGTTATGTACAGAGTGCAAGATTCAGGGATGCGTTATGTACAGAGTTCAGGATTCAGGGATGCGTTATGTACAGAGTGCAGGATTCAAGGATGTGTTATGTACAGAGTGCAAGATTCAGGGATGTGTTATGTACAGAGTTCAGGATTCAGGAATGCGTTATGTACAGAGTGCAAGATTCAGGGATGTGTTATGTACAGAGTGCAGGATTCAGGGATGCGTTATGTACAGAGTGCAGGATTCAGGGATGCGTTACATACAGAGTGCAGGATTCAGGAGTGCCTTACATATAGAGTGCAGGGGTTCAGGAGTGCGTTACATATAGAGTGCAGGGTTCAGGAGTGCGTTACATACAGAGTGCAGGATTCAGGGATGTGTTATGTACAGAGTGCAGGATTCAGGAATGTGTTATGTACAGAGTGCAAGATTCAGGATGTGTTATGTACAGAGTGCAGGATTCAGGAATGTGTTATGTACAGAGTGCAAGATTCAGGGATGTGTTATGTACAGAGTGCAGGATTCAGGGATGCGTTATGTACAGAGTGCAGGATTCAGGGATGCGTTACATACAGAGTGCAGGGTTCAGGAGTGCGTTACATACAGAGTGCAGGGTTCAGGAGTGCGTTACATATAGAGTGCAGGGTTCAGGAGTGCGTTACATACAGAGTGCAGGATTCAGGGATGTGTTATGTACAGAGTGCAGGATTCAGGAATGTGTTATGTACAGAGTGCAGGATTCAGGGATGCGTTACATACAGAGTGCAGGATTCAGGAGTGCCTTACATATAGAGTGCAGGGTTCAGGAGTGCGTTACATATAGAGTGCAGGGTTCAGGAGTGCGTTACATACAGAGTGCAGGATTCAGGGATGTGTTATGTACAGAGTGCGGGATTCAGGGATGTGTTATGTACAGAGTGCAGGATTCAGGGATGCGTTACATACAGAGTGCAGGATTCAGGAGTGCGTTACATATAGAGTGCAGGGTTCAGGAGTGCGTTACATACAGAGTGCAGGATTCAGGAGTGCGTTACATACAGAGTGCAGGATTCAGGAGTGCGTTACATACAGAGTGCAGGATTCAGGGATGTGTTATGTACAGAGTACAGGATTCAGGAGTGTGTTACGTACAGAGTGCAGGATTCAGGGATGTGTTATGTACAGAGTGCAGGATTCAGGAATGCGTTACATACAGAGTGCAGGATTCAGGGATGTGTTATGTACAAGTGCAGGATTCAGGAATGCGTTATGTACAGAGTGCAGGATTCAGGAGTGCCTTACATATAGAGTGCAGGGTTCAGGAGTGCGTTACATATAGAGTGCAGGGTTCAGGGATGCGTTATGTACAGAGTGCAGGATTCAGGGATGCGTTACATACAGAGTGCAGGATTCAGGAGTGCCTTACATATAGAGTGCAGGGTTCAGGAGTGCGTTACATACAGAGTGCAGGATTCAGGAGTGCGTTACATACAGAGTGCAGGATTCAGGAGTGCGTTACATACAGAGTGCAGGATTCAGGAGTGCGTTACATACAGAGTGCAGGATTCAGGGATGTGTTATGTACAGAGTACAGGATTCAGGAGTGCGTTACATACAGAGTGCAGGATTCAGGGATGTGTTATGTACAGAGTGCAGGATTCAGGAATGCGTTATGTACAGAGTGCAGGATTCAGGAATGCGTTATGTACAGAGTGCAGGATTCAGGGATGCGTTATGTACAGAGTGCAGGATTCAGGGATGCGTTATGTACAGAGTGCAGGATTCAGGGATGCGTTATGTACAGAGTGCAGGATTCAGGGATGTGTTATGTACAGAGTGAAGGATTCAGGAGTGCGTTACATACAGAGTGCAGGATTCAGGAGTGCCTTACATATAGAGTGCAGGGTTCAGGAGTGCCTTACATATAGAGTGCAGGGTTCAGGAGTGCCTTACATACAGAGTGCAGAATTCAGGAGTGCATTACATATAGAGTGCAGGATTCAGGAGTATTTTACATACTGAATGCAGGATTCAGGAGTGAGTTACATATAGAGTGCAGGATTCAGGAGTGAGTTACATATAGAGTGCAGGATTCAGGAGTACTTTACATACAGAGTGCAGGATTCAGGAGTGCCTTACATATAGAGTGCAGGGTTCAGGAGTGCGTTACATACAGAGTGCAGGATTCAGGAGTGCGTTACATACAGAGTGCAGGATTCAGGAGTGCGTTACATACAGAGTGCAGGATTCAGGAGTGCGTTACATACAGAGTGCAGGATTTCAGGAGTGCGTTACATACAGAGTGCAGGATTCAGGAGTGCGTTACGTACAGAGTACAGGATTCAGGAGTGCGTTACGTACAGAGTACAGGATTCAGGAGTGCGTTACATACAGAGTGCAGGATTCAGGAGTGCGTTACGTACAGAGTGCAGGATTCAGGAGTGCGTTACATACAGAGTGCAGGATTCAGGGATGTGTTATGTACAGAGTGCAAGATTCAGGAATGTGTTATGTACAGAGTGCAGGATTCAGGGATGCGTTATGTACAGAGTGCAGGATTCAGGGATGTGTTATGTACAGAGTGCAGGATTCAGGAGTGCCTTACGTACAGAGTGCAGGATTCTGGAGTGCGTTACAACACAGAGTGCAGGATTCAGGAGTGCCTTACATATAGAGTGCAGGATTCAGGAGTGCGTTACATATACAGAGTGCAGGATTCAGGAGTGCGTTACATACAGAGTGCAGGATTCAGGAGTGCGTTACATACAGAGTGCAGGATTCAGGGATGTGTTATGTACAGAGTACAGGATTCAGGAGTGCGTTACGTACAGAGTGCAGGATTCAGGAATGCGTTATGTACAGAGTGCAGGATTCAGGAATGCGTTATGTACAGAGTGCAGGATTCAGGGATGCGTTATGTACAGAGTGCAGGATTCAGGGATGCGTTATGTAAAGAGTGCAGGATTCAGGGATGCGTTATGTACAGAGTACAGGATTCAGGGATGCGTTCTGTACAGAATGCAGGATTCAGGGATGTGTTATGTACAGAGTGCAGGATTCAGGGATGTGTTATGTACAGAGTGCAGGATTCAGGGATGTGTTATGTACAGAGTGAAGGATTCAGGAGTGCGTTACATACAGAGTGCAGGATTCAGGAGTGCCTTACATATAGAGTGCAGGGTTCAGGAGTGCCTTACATATAGAGTGCAGGGTTCAGGAGTGCCTTACATACAGAGTGCAGGATTCAGGAGTGCCTTACATATAGAGTGCAGAATTCAGAGTGCATTACATATAGAGTGCAGGATTCAGGAGTATTTTACATACTGAATGCAGGATTCAGGAGTGAGTTACATATAGAGTGCAGGATTCAGGAGTACTTTACATACAGAGTGCAGGATTCAGAAGTGTGTCACATGCAGAGTGCAGGATTCAGGAGTGCCTTACATATAGAGTGCAGGGTTCAGGAGTGCGTTACATACAGAGTGCAGGATTCAGGAGTGCGTTACATACAGAGTGCAGGATTCAGGAGTGCGTTACATACAGAGTACAGGATTCAGGAGTGCGTTACATACAGAGTGCAGGATTCAGGGATGCGTTATGTACAGAGTGCAGGATTCAGGAATGCGTTATGTACAGAGTGCAGGATTCAGGGATGCGTTATGTACAGAGTGCAGGATTCAGGGATGTGTTATGTACAGAGTGCAGGATCAGGGATGTGTTATGTACAGAGTGCAGGATTCAGGAATGCGTTATGTACAGAGTGCAGGATTCAGGGATGCGTTATGTAAAGAGTGCAAGATTCAGGAATGCGTTATGTACAGAGTGCAGGGTTCAGGAGTGCGTTACATACAGAGTGAAGGATTCAGGAGTGCCTTACATATAGAGTGCAGGGTTCAGGAGTGCGTTACATACAGAGTGCAGGATTCAGGAGTGCCTTACATATAGAGTGTAGAATTCAGGAGTGCATTACATATAGAGTGCAGGATTCAGGAGTGCCTTACATATAGAGTGCAGAATTCAGGAGTGCGTTACATATAGAGTGCAGGATTCAGGAGTGCCTTACATATAGAGTGTAGAATTCAGGAGTGCGTTACATATAGAGTGCAGGATTCAGGAGTGCCTTACATATAGAGTGCAGGATTCAGGAGTGAGTTACATATAGAGTGCAGGATTCAGGAGAGTGCGTTACATATAGAGTGCAGGATTCAGGAGTGCCTTACATATAGAGTGCAGGATTCAGGAGTGCCTTACATATAGAGTGCAGGATTCAGGAGTGAGTTACATATAGAGTGCAGGATTCAGGAGTGCCTTACATATAGAGTGCAGGATTCAGGAGTGAGTTACATATAGAGTGCAGGATTCAGGAGTGCCTTACATATAGAGTGCAGGATTCAGGAGTATTTTACATACAGAGTGCAGAATTCAGGAGTGCATTACATATAGAGTGCAGGATTCAGGAGTATTTTACATATAGAGTGCAGGATTCAGGAGTGAGTTACATATAGAGTGCAGGATTCAGGAGTACTTTACATACAGAGTGCAGGATTCAGAAGTGTGTCACATGCAGAGTGCAGGATTCAGGAGTACCTCTTTGAGTATTTTGTTCTGGCTGCCATTTGATTGCAGTTTCAACGACTTTTCTTGATCACAGGTCTGTGTCTTCTTCCCGCTCAGGGTCTCTGGGTGATATTACCAAACCTTTTGTGGACTTCACGGACCCTCCAGAAGTGGACAGATATTTCACCTTCAATGTGTCATCAGCACTGTGTCTGACCTCTTCCCTGCTGAAGGTTTTCCAGGGACGTGCTGGGCTGGAGCGGCTGGTGGTCAATGTCTCATCTCTGGCAGCCCTGCAACCATTCAAGTCCTGGACGCTGTACTGCACTGGAAAAGCAGCTCGGGATATGATGTTCAGGGTGCTGGCCAAGGAGGAGACAGATGTCCGCGTACTCAACTACGCACCAGGTAACTTCTCATATCAGTAAATTTCAAAAGTAAATGTTAAATAAAATACACAAGTATATAAATATAATCATAAATACATTTTAGTTAATAATATATACATAATAATTAGCCCCTAACCTTAACCCCCTAACCCTTAAAATATATATAATAATACTAATAATAAAAAAAAATAATAAATACATTTAAAAAATGCACAAATAAATACAAAAAAATCATAAATAAATACTTGTAATAATAAATTGATAATTAACCTATAACCTTAACCCCTAAAAAGGTTAAAAAAAAACCCAACCAACTACAACAAAAACAACCAAAAACAACAAGCAACAGCAAAAACAACAACAACCATCACCACCAACAAAAACAACCACAACAAATACAACAATCCTAACCCTTGTTTTTTAAGGTTAGGGGTTAATTATTATTTATTTTACATTTACAGTATTTGTTCATATTAGTAATTGAATAATTAGTAATTTATTCATTACTATTTTTTTTAACTGCATGTTTCTATTCTTTTCTATGAGATTAAAAACACACCAAAAACGTGCAAATCTGCCAAATTTGAGCTACAAAAGTAGCTCCAAACCTTTTTTAAGCTTCAGGCGTTCTGCTTCAGGTGACTTGGAGTGGAGAAGTGAACCATCTCCAGAGAGTAATATTGATTTTTTTCCCCTTGAGCGTTTTGGAGCTTCGAGTTTCACGCTACAAAACACCGTTAGTAGGTTAATTGGTCAGCTGTTTTTCGGGGTTTTGGCTTTTTTTTTTTTTTCTTATCGGTAATGTTGAAAAATTTGTGGCCGATTTTGCCAATCGGCCGATTTTCCCAGCAACAATGGCCAAATCGGCCAATCATTTTACCGATAAAAAATCGAAGGAGGAGGAGAAGAAGAAGAATTCCAGTCCGTTATTATATTTTATATGAAAAGTCTTGCGGTTGCAACAATGTATCCATTTGTATCCAAATAAAACCATCTGTATCCAAAATGGATACAAATGGATACATTGTTGCAACCGCAAGACTTTTCATATAAAATATAATAGCAGACTGGAATTCCCCTGTCTCTGCAAGGGACAGAAGTAATTATGGGGATAAATGCCGGCTATAGACGGGCCGAAAATCGTCCGATTTTTTTTTACCGTTGGTGGTAACGTTGCCCGATTGAACGACTGATTTTTCATTTTTTTTTTTAAAACGGATGGATACAGGAAAAGAAAACACCAAAACACTATCCTCCTATGAATTCAGAGCTCAAAAGCACAGCTCAAAAACAATGAATAGTGAAATGACGTTTTTGGTTGATTGACAGCCGACTCCCTCTCCGTTCGGGTTGTCAGGGTCCCACCTTTTGTGGGTTTGACATCACGTCATGCATTTTGCTTTTTCTAAAAAATGTTTACTCTCTGCGTTTTCAATGCATTTCGGGCCTTGTTCACACCAGTGAGCTGAGTTTTATCCTTTTTGCAGTGAATTTTGCATTTTTGCATGCGCGTCTAATTTAATTTTTTCTTGTTGCTGGGCAGATTTCAGGCCTGGTTCACACCAATGTTTGTGTTTTGTCCGTTTTGTAGTGCGTTTTGCATTTTTGCATGCGCGTCTTGGAATACGTAATTTTTTTTAAATGTTTTTTATTTTTGGCCAACTTGTTGTGAAACACAAAACGCGTCAAAAACTCGACAAACATGTGAAAACACGTCAAAAACTCACTACATGTGTTTTCTGCAGCGTCTCCATTGAAGTCCATTGAAGTTTTGCTTTTAAAAAAGTCCCTGACCCTGTCCAAAAACGCAGCACGATGTGAACATGTTCCATAGGAAACCATGTTAAATAGACAAATATGCACCAAAAATGTGGCAAGCAGGATTTTTAACAATGCAAGGGAAGTGCAATGGACCAGTGTGAAGACATACATAAATTTAAAGGGATGTATTTTTCTGGAGCTTTTCTTGTGGCTTTTTTTTGTAATGCAAAGCGCTGCAAAAACTGCTCAGTGCGAAAGCAGACTATTGGCCAATATTCATGATATTAATTAAAAAGTCAAATACAATGCAATTATATACAGGCGTACCTCGGTTTACGAATTTAATGCATTCTGCGGGACTTTTCGCATTGCGAAAAATTCGTAAACCGAAACGCGGTTTACCATAGGAATGCATTGAAAACCAATTAATCCGTTCTGGAGGTCAGAAAAAAGTAAAAAAAAAGCATTTTATTTGTTCAAAACTCTTTATAAAGTGCACTTTAAAGGCATAAATACTTTACAGGGACATGATTAAAAATTAATTCGTAAATGCATTGAAAACCAATTAATCCGTTCCGGAGGTCAGAAGAAAGTAAAAAAAAAGTCTTTATCTGTTCAAAACTCTTTGTAAAGTGCATTTTAAAAGGCATAAATACTGTACAGGGACATGATTAAAAAAAATTCATAAAATGCATTGAAAACCAATTAATCCGTTCGTACTGCAAAACAAATTTGTAAACCGAGGCATTATTTTCAATGAATTTTCATTCATAAACCAAAAATTACGTTAACCAAGGCATTCGAGGTACGCCTGTATATACTCCTAGATTGTAAGCTCCCAGGATCAGGCCCTCCTATCCCTCTTGTATTGAACTGTATTGTTGCTGTATTGTCTCCCGTTATATTGTAAAGTGCTGAGCAAACTGTTGGCGCCATAAATCCTGTATAATAATAATAATAAATCCTGTATAATAATAATAATATAAATCCTGTATTATAATAATAATAATATAAAAAAAAATTAAAAACTTTTTTTTAAACTGTCCATTTCGGTTTTGGTTTTCAGCCAAATGCATCCTGAATTTTCTGTTTTGGTCCAAGAAATTTCATTTCAGTGCACTACTAGTTTCTGGTCAATTTTCTGTACTGGCAGAGTTTTTAAAGAGACCAGACAGGGGAAATGTGTATGTATTGAAGAGATATACTGAATATGTATGACACACTTTAGAAAGAATTCTGGTTTCTGCCCCATTTAATATGCTTCCTATTCACCCATCATACAGGGCCCATGAATAGCGCCATGCAGGACCAGGTGCAGAGTCACACAGCAGATTTGGAGGTCCGCCATCATTTCATTGAAATGAAGAAAAGAGGAGAACTTCTTGACTGTCATGTCTCCGCCAGGAAAATGCTGGACATTCTCGAGAAAGATGCCTTCAGATCTGGCGAGCATGTGGATTTTTTCGATTAGTATCAATTATTTGATTAGTGTCAGTTGTGTGGTTTCTTGGTCTGGTTAAACATTTTTTTTTTTTAAATCTATGCTTTTAATGTCATGTGCAAGCAGGTTTTCTGCTCAGCTCCCAGTGTGCCAATTGCACTGGTGACTGCGGAGTACGTATCCGTCCTGCTGGAGTACGTATGGTAAGGCCTTGTAAGCAGGGGTGGACTGACAACTCATGGGGCCTCTGTGTCCTCACCCACACTCAAACCACACCCAAAAAAGCCTTTGAAAGGTACCAGGGGCATCTTATGGGGCCCCCTACTGACTCTGAGCCCTCGGGCAGTGCCCCGAGTGGCTAAATGTTCAGTCCGCCCCTGCTTGTAAGCACCCCTATGTGAGGTCCTAAACAAATGTTCTGACAAGACAAGACACACTAGACTAGATGGACAGCAAAATCACAGTTAAAATAAATATACATGGACTGCCTTACTTGCCAAAGCAAGTGCAGCCAGTCTTGTGATTTAGGAACCCCTGTCGGACAGCTTGGCAAGGCCCTGCACTCCATTTTTTACTACACTGCAGTTGAGCAGTACCACTGATCTTGCACGTGCCCTGCCAGTGAATGAGCAGTAAAGCAGGACACTAATTATCATTCTTTTCTCATCTCCTCTCGGGAACCTGTAAGGCTCCATGTACACGGAACATTTCTGAACAATGGAAACTGACTGCTGGAAAACGTAGGTTAAAAAACATCTCTTTAGCCGTGTTTGCATACCGCGTTTACGTTTAGAAGCGTTTTTAAAAATAACCTCAGGAGACCTTCCAAAATGCCCAGAATGCACTGAAAAACAGTAAAAAATTAACTATTTCAGAGATTTTGAGAGAATAAGAGAGAGTAGAAGCAGAGAGAGAGCAGTATGTGTTGAGATTAGCTGTCTTTTTTTTGTGGTGTTTGGATGTGTTCCAGCTCATTTCTGTGCAGAAATTATTGCAGCCGTGTCTAACATATTTTCTTTCATGCGAACCCTCAAAGTATGGTGTACCGGGTCCGTTTGAGTACCAGGAAAACGCTTTGCATGCATTTTTCATGATGAAAAAAGGTTCTGGACAGCATCTGGAAATGGAAGAGTTAAAAAAAAAAATTCAAACACTTACATTTATTGCAGAACATTTCTTTGCAGAACAGCCACGTTTACAAGCGTTTAAAACACTGATTATCTACTCAAATACAAACAACCTGCACTTGGGTAAACATACTAGTCATGTGACAACAAAAAATGACATAGGGCAATAAACACATCAGGCAATAAACATAATAGTAAATAAATAAAAATTGCAGCACTAATCAAAAAAACATAAAGTCCAATAAATCAGAAAAAGTTCCAGTTAAAAAGTCCCAAATGCAATTCCCACGATCCACCATCACCAGGACACCCGAATGGTTCAGCCTCTTACCAGAAATTCTAACCGAAACACACCGGTCAGTATAGGCAACTCAAATGGGAGATGAATAAGTGTAGATCATGGAAACAGCAATCCTCATTTACAAGCGTTTACAAGTGTTTGGAGTTTGAAACGCTGATAAAATCTACTCCTGAACGCAAGTTTTCTGCGTTCAAAAAAAAACAACTGTAAACTCAACTGCCTGGAAACGACATAGTGTACATGGACACATAGGAAAACAATAGGGAGAGTTCAGGGGCTGCTGAAAAAAAAAAAAACGCTGAATATCAGCATGTGTGCACTGCAGCAGAGTCTGGTTCAGGGGCGGACTGACAACTCATGAGGTCCCCGGGCAATAGGGGATCATGAGGCCCCTGTGTCCTTGCCCAAACTCAAAAAAGCCTATGAAAAATGTACCAGGGACATCTCATGGGTCCCCCTACTGACCCCAGCCCTTGGGCAGTGCCAGAGGTTCCAAATGGTCAGTCCACCCCCGGTCTGGTTGTCTCAGAGTTATGGCCCTCCTTGCTGGTGTCCAGTGCAAGTGGTTGCCACTGGCCAAATGGAAGCTGTAGATGGTCCAGGATGGGCACATGAGATGCCACAGAAAGGTGTCCCTCTCCAGATACTACCTCCAGTTTTACAAATAGGCTGATGCTGGCCTTTAGCACTGGTTGAGGCCTCAGCCATGCCAAGTGCACTCTCTGCCCACCTGATAGTAATGGAACACCTAGCTCTACATGAAATCAGAACCAAATTGTTCCATCACAAAATGGCCCCGTGTGCTGATCTATTACTGCACCAATTATCTCTTCCTCCTACCACCTTCTCAAGAGCAACTTTTCTTTTTAATTTCAGCATCACCTACCTTGGCACATCCATTTAATCTTATTTTAGATCTTTACATTATAACTTTGCTCCCTTATGAAATAGAATATAAAAATAAACATCCTGAAAATGGAAAACCGATCCCTCTTTTTCAGACCATCTCTATCAGTCCACCTGAGTCCTTTGCCTGCACCTTAATATCAATCTATAAAAAGTTAACTTGGAACTGGGCCCATCCTCGATTTAAATACAGGATCCTATGCAAACCAAAATCCAGCAGTGCCATGGGGTTACCTTGCTTTAACTTCACAATACTTCTTCATTCATTGTATGCATTTTAGATTTGTTCATATTCTCCAAAGGTGACCACACTTAGAGAACAAGAGCTTTCCCCTCTTTTTCTATGGGCCCTTCACTAGACTAAATCGCATACCGTACCCCACAAAAACATTTTCAACCCTAACAACGACCATCCTTTAAAACTGGCTATCTGCTTAAGAAACTTAAGCTTTCTTTCTTTCCCAGCCCCCATGTTTCCCTTTTTGACAATCTGGACCTAACTGTAGATATCTCCATTCAAACCCTGGCAGGCTTTGACAAAGACCCTTGGCCTCAAGCCAGGCACATCCTAGACCCTGTTACATGATTATTCATCCCAGGGGCCTCGCTTATAGGCAGCAAAGATAGTTGTTTTCTACATCTACAGATTTGCTGCCCTTTGTAAGGCCCCTACACACTTTCCCATATATGCATTGGACACAGACAGACTTCGAAGAGCTGTTCTCTTTGAAGTCCATCACCTTATCAGTGGTATGCTCCACGCAGGGTACAATGACCCTCCATATATCAGAGGGTGAAACTGAGACTTAGGGAGACCTACCAAGATATTTTGTGAAAGTGTCCCCTCATCCATAAATACTGGAATAAAGTCTTCTATGCTTGTAACAAGACCTATAGGGGTTTATTTACTAAAGCTGGAGAGTCCAAAATCAGACTCCCTTCTGCATAGAAACCAATCAGCCTCCAGATTTCATTGCCAAAGCTTCATTGAACAAGCTGAGGTTAGAAGCTGATTGGTTTCTATGCAGAAGGGAGTCTGATTTTGGACTCTCCAGCTTTAGTAAATAAACCCCATAGTGACTCCATTTCAATGTCCCCATAAAATGCCAAATTATCCCTCCTTTCTGGCCCCATGGCAGCCCAGAAATAAAATGCTTACACTTTATCTACTACTCCTCCATCCCTAATATTCTGAGTAGACGCCATAGATAACATAATATGCCCAAAAGAACTCCTAGCAATAGAAAATGGCAATCTTGATACATTTTTGTCCCAATGGAGTGATTGCCTTTTTGACAATCTAGACCTAACTCTAGATATCTCTACTCAAACCCTTGGAGGCTTTGACAGAGACCCCTGGCCTCAAGCCAGGCACTTTATAGACCCCATTACATAATCACTCATCACATCAGCCATGCTAATAGGCAACAAAGATAGTTGTCTTCTATGTTTATAGATTTGCTTCCCTTTGTAAGGCCCTAAGCAGTTTTCCATATACTATGCGTTGGACACAGATGGACTTCAGAGCTGTTCTCTCCCTCTCTTAGAGCCCTCTTTTCACACCTTATCAGTGGGATAATGCAGTTGGGATATAACGACCACCCTTCGTATATCAGAGAATGGAACTGAGACTTAACGTGACCTACCAATATATTTGGTGGAAGCATCCCCTCATCCTTAAATACTGAACTGAAACCTTCTATGCTTGTAACAAGACCTATAGTGACTCCATTTCACTGTCCCCAGAAATTGCCCAATTACCCCTCTGTCCTGGCCTCATACACTTTATCTACTACTCCCCCTACCCCTAAAATTCTGAACAGACACCATAGACAACATAATGTGCCTCAAAGAACCCCTAGCAAAAGAAAATGGTAACCTTCATACATTTTTGGCCCTATGGAGTGTTTATTTACATCTATTGCAGAACATTTCTTTGCAGAACAGACTTTAAAGTAATCCCCAACTCTGGCCCTTCCAGAAAGTGTCTCGTTATTCCATAGCACTGCCGCTCTAACGCATTCTGAGGGTTACCTTAGACTAGACAAACCCTTTCCCCCTCCCTTCATCAACCCCCTATGTTCCAGAAATCATGGACAGGAAGAGATTTATTTACTAACACTGGAGAGTGCAAAATCTTGTGGGGCTGTGCATGGAAGCCAATCATCTTATCGATTTTATTGACAAAGCTTAATTGAACAAGCTGCAGTTAGAATTTGAAGGCTACCATGCACAGATGCACCGGATTTTGCACTCTCTTGTTTTAGTAAATCAGCCCCGAAGTGTAAACTGTTCAAAACCACTGCATGCTGAAAAATCTAACCTTGTACTATATCTTTTTATTCCATTTTCTATAATGGAGCTCAGAAGCATTTATGGTAGGCATTTCGTGAAGGTTGTAGTCAACCTCTATTTCACTCATACATCATTCCTTTTATTGTCCGACACTTTGCCGATTGTCTGTCTTATTCATGTTTCCTTTCTACTTCATTCATTGTTTTTTTTTTTTACTTTTATACCTATATTAACCGCATGCCGCCCAGCCACTGTACATATACGGCGGCAGGGCGGCACTCACAGGCAAAACCACGTTTTAAAACGTGTGTTTTGTAAACAAATAGGGGGGGCGCGCGCGAGGCGCGCTGCCACCCTATTTGTCCTGTGGATCACCGCCGCAGATGTCAGTTGCCGGGTCA